ACTGGTATAGAGGATATAGCCTCTCTGACTACCTATAGTAATTCTTGGCCTTTTTTGGCATGTAGAAGTTAAAGTGTTGGCATTACCAATAAATCACAAGCACTTTTCAGTCTGAGCCAATGTTTCTCTCCTTCCAGCAGAAATTCATTTATGGCAGCGTTCGACATTACGCCACTCACCTCGCTTTACTTATAATTATATTCAGTTTGGATCACAATGCATACACTCAACCAGGTAAGGGAGAATTACAAAGTCTGTTCCGCTTTGAGCAATTTGAGCTTCTTAGAATCAGTCTTGATTGTAAAGGTTGTTACATAGTAGGAAATCTAGAAGCAATACAACCATACATAAGATATTGGTGTGCCGTTTTGGGATTAATTAAAGTCTATTACGTGCAAATAGAAGGGCTGTATTAGGAAAAAAACTCTTTACAGCTGAATGTTATCTAATTTTCGTCTCAATACATTAGCTCTTTCAATCACGAGCAAAAACAGTGAGATTGGATTGGCTTTCTGTTTCAAGCCAAAATGTTTGTGTTCTTGATGTTGCTAGAACAAATTTGGCAATTGTCAGTTATGACTGAGCATTTAAAATTTTATGAGGATGCCTTCGAGAATAAGCTGAATAAAACTTGTGAAGAATTTGTTGAAGGACATCAGGCAACCCGTCACAGCAAAGATGTCTCACTTGTGCGTCGCAGCAAACACTCACTTTCTGTGCCTTTGATGTCAACCCTTTCTAAAAATTCACTTACTGCCGCCTGTAGAGCGACACACCAGGCGTTAAATAAGAAAATCCCTCAAACAGGAACTAGTCAAGATAACCAAAACTTCTTAGCAAGGAGAGTTATTGCCAAAACTCTAAGGCATCATAGATTGCGTACGGCTCCTTTGCATATTCAAAAAAGACATTAGGAGACTAATAGCCTCAAAACTAATTGGAGACTAAATTATTATTTCGTAACAAATATATTCCTAAAAATAGAGAGGAGCCCATAATATTCATGATAATTATTGAATTATAAGTATGAAACATGTAACTAGGCTAACCTTTGTGTTCTGGTGAAGTGCTGATTGCAGTGCTAGCCACATTCTCCTTACTTTCCTCAGTGATGTTAATGATGCTCTAAATTTGGAGTAAAAAGAATAACTTTAGTCTTAAGTATTTAGGGCTAACCGCATCATTGAGTTCTTCGCTGGGTTCAGGAAGTTTGGTAGATTTCTCTGGAAGAATTTATCTAATTTGGTAATCAACAATGGGTTCAATATCAACCTGCATAACAATCAACTGCGAGAATTATCACTGCCAGGCCAATCCAACCCATGCTGAAAATAAGAAAATGAACACTGAAAGTGT